AAGTGAATGCGAGAAAATCAGGCTTCTCTGATTGACAAGGACCCAATCAGCGACATTTTCTCTATGTATCAAGGCTGCACGAAAAACACGTAGCTTGTTTTCATCTCATTTTAAACACACGCTGCTGTTCTTTCAAGTTAAGTAATAATACGCATTTATCATTTTATTATACAGGGGTTGGACAAAAATATGGAAGCACCTTTAAAAAAACATGTTTCTTTGCTTAATATGGTGTAGGAAACCCGTTGGCATCCAAAACAGCTTGCAGTCTTCTCGGAATGGATAAATACAGTTCCTGTATGTTTGCCAAGGGAATATTATACCATTCTTCCTGCAAAACGGTGGCAAGTTCAGATAACGATGTTGGCCGTGGATAACGAGAACGCACTTTCTGTTCCAATGTAGACCACAAAGGTTCGATAATATTTAGGTCTGGTGACTGTGGTGGCCAGGGAAGATGGGACAAATCATCCTCGTGCTCAGAAAACCAGTCCTGGACAATGCGAGTTGTGTGAACAGGGGCTTTGTCCTCTTGAAAAGACACCATCACCATCGGGGAACAAAGTTTGTACCATGGGATGAACTTGATCGGCCAAAATGTTCACTTAAGTCTTGGCAGTGATATGCCCTGACACAGTTATCATGGGGCTAGCAGAGAACCACGATATTGCTGCCCAAACCATAACAGAACCCCCGCCATGTTTCACTCTTGGCAACAAGCAGTCTGTATTATAGGCTTGAGATGGCGTCCTCCAGACGTAAACTCGGCCAGAAGTGGGAAACAATGGGAAAGAAGACTCGTCAGACCATATTACTCGCTTCCACTGCTCTATAGTCCAGGCTTTATGACTTAAACACCACCTTTTCCTGTTGCGGGCATTAGCATCACTGACGAGTGGCTTCTCAATTGCAGCACGGCCAGCAATTCCCTGTTTATGAAGCTCCCTTCTAATTGTTTTGGTACTCATAGGGTTCGGTACCACAACATTCATTTCAGCAGTAAGATTTGCAGCTGTGGTCTTCTTATTTTTCGTCACAATTGCCCTTAATGATCGTCTGTCTTTCTGCTTTTCAAACATGCGGAATAAATCTTTGATACAGTACCTCTTGAAACACTAAACACCTCGGCTACCTTGCTTATGGAAGCACCTATCATACGTGCTCCAACAATTTGCGCACGTTCGAAGTCTGTTAACTCTGACATAATGCAATGACAATCTCACATAACAGTACTCCGACAACAACTGAACTGTTTAGCACATTTACGAAGTTGTATAGGTGGCGTCAGTAGTCAAAAATGCCAGCGCCACCTACATATTTCATTAAAATCAATCTTTCTTTTCAAATATGCATTTCACAAGGTGTTTCCATATTTTTGTCCATCCACTGTATATATTGCTAGTTATTACCAATGTACTGTCATACATGTAAGTGCGAAAAGTTTATAAGGTATTTCTCACGCCTTCTTGGCATGCCTTCGTGGTGTAATGGTCAGCACACTGAGCGCGTATTTCGAGAGATTGGAGATTCGAGTCCCTGCAAGGGCATTGCTTATTTCTCACTTTCCTGCTTCAAAAAAACCTAATGTCTCTACAGTGGCGTCCCATAAAAAAAAAAAAAAAAAAAAAAAAAAATTGATTCTTCACCAACAGGATTTGGTGATTGTATCCCCTAATCCCCATTCGCCTTTTAAAAGGGGGAGTACATAAGGTATTTCTCCCTCCTTCTTAGTATGCCTTCATGGTGTAATGGTCAGGACGCTCGGCCCGTATTCGAGAGGTCCGAGGTTTGAGTCCCCGCGAAGGCATTGCTTATTTCTTCAGTTTCTGGCTGTCAAAAATTCCTAATGTCTGTAGAAATTAAGATACGATTATGATAAAGATATTTTTTTATGCATGAGAAACTTTGGTACTTTCTGATTATTTGCACTCGCAGCTTCAAATTTCACTAAATAGCAAGCCAAGCATATGCATATAACACACATGTATGTACACGTTTTATATTTAAATTTTAATGGACTATTATATTCACACATATCCAAAGAGATAAATCTAAGCGAAAAACAATTAAAATTTACTCTTCCCCACCCCCGGTGATTTTCAACAGAAACTTTAAGCAAATAAAAACCTAACCTGCTTTTGAACAAATATTTAGCCACTCAATGGACTTCAACGCGTTTTGTTTCTGATTGTGAGAATTCCTAAACAGGATCGACAGATGTTTATCAGAAGAGATACTACCTATGTCTAAACTGAAATCTAACATAACTACGCGACGTTTTGTATAACCACTCATTAGACTGTCTATACGCTCATTACACTGTCTATACGCTCGTTACACTGTCTATACGCCACTCATTACACTGTCTATAGGCATTCATGAAGAAAATAGGCATACCAAACACTGATAGAAGTGAAAAATATTTTGATTTTTTTAACTTATTTTTGTGCTTTTCAAGCACTAAAATTCCACTTTGGTTGCAAAAAAAAGCGAAACATTTTTTTCCTTCTGAAATATTTTTTCTTGTCCTGAGTAGCCTACACATGAAATTTCACAGAAGCACTTTGAGTAAAATGACTATGAACAAAGCCATTTTAAATGCAATCATTCTATGGAAAACTATGTATGTATATCAAATCATAGTTTAATTAAACTTCGCTTTTAATGTGAAATGATTATTACACTAAATACAAGTTCGCTAAAGAATATTAACACCACATAAGAAATAGAGAGCGGCGAAGTTGCTGAAATACTTCTAGACCTTGCCAATTTCGTGAAACCATCCATAAGTGGTGTCGTGAATCAGTTACTCCTTCGTATTAATAGTATTAATAGCGGTGATTGCAACAGAGGGCACGTATGAAGGTCACTGTGTAGAGACATTATAATATTTTGAAATAGGAGACATTAAAAATTAGCTATGCCCTCGCTGAGACTCGAACCTGGACCTCTGGAATACGTGCCGAGTGTGCTAACCATTACACCACGAAGACATGCCAGAATGAGGGAGAAAATACCAAATGGGTCGGGCTGCGCCCACTTCTGCTACCTTACATACTACCCCTTTTAAAGGGGGGCTGGGGATTAGAGGACCCAATCGCCAAATCCTGGTGATAAAGAATAATCATCCATTACCTTAGTTCGGGCACCAATGCATTTTTTTAAAGGATTTTTTTAAAGTGAAAATAAGCAATGGCCTTGCCGGGACTCGGACCTGGATCTCTCCAATATGCGCCGAGTGTTTGTTCCGGCGCCACTGTAGAGTCAATAGATTATTTTGAAGCAGGAGACGTGAAGAATGAGCAATGCCATCGCCGCGACTCGAACCTTGGACCTCTCGAATATGTGCCGGACGTGCTGGTCATTACACCACGAAGGCATGCTAAGAAGGCCGGAGAAATACCTCACAAAGTGGGATAAACAAAGTGCTTTATTATTTTAACTAAAGTTTGACATTTTAAGCCTTTTATATAATTTGGATCCGTTCTTGTACTCACATACATTTTGAAAGTTAAACCGATCGAGTCAAAAACAAACGAGCGGTTTTAAGCGATATCTCTCTTGGCCTGCGCTCTCAGCGTACGCAAAAGAATATCCTCACCCTGTTCTAAATATGGTACACATTGCACACTCATTTTTACTTCCTTGTACGAAGTAAAAAGGAAGTATTGTAATCGCGAAAAGTTTCAGGCAGCATATTTCAACGAAAATATCCATTTTGACCGCTATCGAATGCAATTTAACGATGTTTTTTGTGATATCTGTACGCAAGGACAGAATAAAAGACTCGTTTCCTCCAAAAAAATTATAAAACTGCTTTAAAATCAATTCTGAAGAAAATTTTTCGTGGCGTCTCTACGTACGTACTATCTCGCATAACTCAAAAATGAGTAGCCTCAGAACGTTGAAATTTTGTATATAGGACTGCTATAACGTGTAGATGTGCACCTAGTATTTTGGTTGCAATCGGCCGCACCAAACGTATATAAATATATTTATATATATATATCCACTCTGTTACCCGGCTCAGTGATTTCAGTTTCTTTACTCGTATATGTTTGTAAATTGTACATTTTTTGCTTTAAAAATGATTGAAATTATGTAGTTTTTATCTTCCGGTTAAGGTTTTTTATGCCTTTAGTAAATCTGTATGCAATATTTTTAGAATTATCAACAATTTTAAAGTTGTTTAAGTGCCGCTAAGCCTTTTTTTTATGGCGGCCATTGATTGTTTACATTTGAAACAGCAGACTAGTGGATTTGCTGCCAATGTAGAGAATCTTCGCTTCCCAACAACAAAGGCAACGCCTTCATTTATTATTGCCAATTAAATCATGTTTAATCCTTTCTGGGATTTTTTCGAGGAAATAAGTGTTTCAGATTTAGTTCGTAATTCTTAATATAGATATTTTAAGTTTTTATGTATTTTTGCCTTCTCGCGAAGTGAGAACTGAATTAATTGAATGAGAAATACTGAATCGTCTGTGAAAAACTGTTTCTTTTTTGTTTTGTTTGCTTAATTTCTTATATATATCATTCTAGCTTTATTATAGTATTTGAATATAACATGTGGCAACGATTAGGTAATTCTATTCTTTAAATGATATAAATTTTGTGCATTATGAATTATAATATGAACGAAATATAATACTGTTAAGTGAATCTAGCGCCAGAGTGTCGCTATGGTAAACAAATACTAGAGTGAATTTTAAAGAAAGTAGATTTAATTCAATCCAATAAGTTTAAATGAAATGCAAGAAAAAATGTGCATAATTTAATATTCCGTACAAGGAAGTCATGTGGTTTACACATCAGATTTTTTCATAGATTTTCACACACTAAAATTACTTTATAACACTGCAAAGTTTGTGGCAACGAAGTTTCTTTCCGTAAGTATGTTATTTATTTTCCCTTTAGTTTTGAAACACTTTTGAATCGCCATATATATGAGTTAAATACATGGGACGTAATTCTGCATGTAACACAAAACTGTTCGTAAATTTTGAAAATGAAATGCAAAACCACTTTATTAACAAATTTTTTCAGCATAGGAGAGATTTATGTATGGTACAGAGTTTGTTTTAATTATTTCATAAATTAAATTTCGTAAAAATCTCCGTAAGAAAAATTATACACGTTCAAAGCATACTCTGATGTTCTTACAGTCCAATTCATTTTACTTTCAAAACTCGCTGTGCGGAACGGAATGTTTCTGAATAAACCTGAAATATTAAAACATTTATTAAAATCATACATCCGCATTTAATGTAGTAAATATCTTAACATGGTGAAGATGTATAAGCAGAAGAATTAGCTGTTAGCTTTAGCTTAATAAAATGAATATTATAAACATGCTAAAGTTCTAAATTTTTAATGTGATTTTTAAAGCAAAAATTACAGAAAACCCCAGAAATATTGCAAAAATATACGGGAATTATTGAAGAGCAGTTAAGGGAAAAAATAGTCGAAGAATGCCCTAATGAAATCAAACTTTCACAATTTTATATGCCGCACCCGCTCTAATTCCCGATTCTGAGACTACTATAAGCATCGAAAACTAAAATCCGTGTAGTTTCCGATGATTGTGTTCTTCGAAAACCGGAAACTTCAAATCTTTAAACGAAAGCCTAAAAACCGGTCCAAATTTGAATCCGAATGTTCTCGACGTGATCCTGAGGTTTCGTGAACCTGAAATAGCATTTTGTGGGGACATAGAAAAGGCATTTTTAATGATTAGCACTGCAGAAGAAGATAGGGATTACTTAAGATTTCTTTGGTTTGGGAATTATGAGAAATCATGTAATATTATGCGCATATGTCGGGTTCCGTTCCGAACAGCGGTTAGTCCTTTTCTATTGGCTGCCACAATAAAATATCACATTAAAGGGTATAAAGAGGGGCATCCCGAGAGTTTTAAAATGCTTAATTCTTCTATTTACATTGATGACTTATTTTATGGAGGTAAAGATGCATAACGATTATCTGTAGATGCTGTAAATATTTTTCGGGATGCGGGTATAAATTTGAAATCGAATTCAGATGAATTCAATACATTATGAATGAAGTCAAATATTAAAGAGGCAGATGATTTCAATAAAGAAACAAAATTTTGGGGCATGATTTGGAATCCTAGTAACGATGTAATAAAAATAAATACCAAACCAGTTCAGGAGTCAATTGGAAATGGTGAAGGCGACACAGAAAGACTGATATTGAAAACTATCACCAATAAACGTCACTTCCGCAGGAATCTCCACTTTATTTTCCGCCGACGGAATTTGAAGGGGTCAGACTCGCTCTCCCGTTTGCTGTAGAGTGGAAAGAGAATCCCGACTGGTTTTCCGATATCGATTTCGACAGGCCTCCAGACTAGACCCCCTATCGGATATTTGCAACCATTTATTCTAGTTCGGGTTTAGATTATATTACAAGATCTTTGTCTTCTGAGTTTAGAGTGGGATGCTGCACTTCCCACTGATATCCGGAAAAGGCGAATGTGAGGTATTTTATATTTTATGTACAACTTGCACAAAAAAAAAAAAAAAAAAAAAAAAAAAAAAAAAAAAGTGACAGTTCTATATCTCCTGTTCTACTGGACCGATTGTCGAAATTTAACTTGCGTTTTCCATGCCTCGAGAGCACGACTTAAGATATACACTGCTCGACATTGAATATGCAACACCAAGAAGGAGTGGTCAGAAAGTGATGAAATTTGGAAAAAAGACAGAGACAGCAAGCACCAATAAGTGATCTTTATTTCAAAATGATAGTCAGAAAACAAGCGAGAACTCAGTCGGTCCTACTGAGCGGCGTCGGCTCAGTAGGATGTAGGACCACCGCGGATAGAGATGCACGAAGAAACACGTCTAGGCATAAAGTCAATAAGAGTGCGAATGGTATCCTGAGGGATGGCTCTCCATTCCCTTTCAACCATTTGCCACAGTTTGTCTTCTGAACGAGGCAGGGGCAGAGTCTGCAAACGGCGTCCAATCACATCCCACACATGTTCGGTTGGTGACACTTCAGGAGAGTACGGTGGCCAGGGAAGCATCTGTATACCTTGCAGAGCATGTTGGCAGATGCATGCGAGCACTGTGCGGTCGGGCGTTATCCTGCTGAAAAATTGCATTACAGCCCCTGAAGGTAGGGATTGCCACCGCATCATACATTATCCAGTATCGTTGGGCCGTCATAGAGCCCTGAATACGACTAGAGGTGACCTGGAATCGTAGGAAATAGCGCCCCCAAACCATTATGCACGTTGTCGCGCGGTGGGGCATTCCACATTTACTGCCGGATTAGATCTGTCTCACCTTCGGACGACCCACACACGTATGCGGCTACTGTCAGTGGATAAACAGAAGCGTGTCTCATCCGAGAACACGACGTTTCGCCATTCTGTCATCCATATCGCTCCAATCCGGCACCATTCTAAGCGTTGGCGTCTATGCTGTGGGGTCAATGGCAGTCTTAACGGACGCCGTGAGTGCAGGCCACGTTCAACCAATGACGGAAAATGGTTCTGGTGGACACGCAAACATCCAGGGTATCTTGCGCATGCTGCAGAATCGCTGTACAAGTGACTTGCGGGACCGCCACAGCTTGTCGGCGGATGCGTCGATCCACGCGTGCTGACGTCACACTGGCTGCACCTGCACCCCTTCTTCTTCCCACATTTCCTTGTTCAAACCATGTTCGCCATAGCCGATACACCGTGCTCGCATACACATGGGTATGAGCTGCGATTTGACGTAAGGACCAACCCGCCCTTCTCAGTCCGATCACCATACCCCTCGTAAAATCGTCTATCTGCTGGAAGTGCCTTCGTTGACAGCGGCCTGGCATTCTCTCCTATTACACGTATCCTCCGGGACAAAAACCAACTTTCTTCGATAATTCGTCTGGCAGAAGTAACGACACGAATATTCCCCATTCTGCACGTTCCTTCCTTTATATCTTACTTCACGTGCGTCGGAGAGCTGCGCATTTCCATCATTCGCATAACTGAGTGACGTCGTCTACTCTAAAATTTGCATAAATTTTGACACCTTCTTGGTGTTGCAGTTTCACTGTCGAGCAGTGTATATATTATTTTATATATAGCTCCACACTTTTAAAATACTTTTAATTAAACTAGGAGATAATATAATCAATTAATCAATACTGTTTAGGAATAAAATTATATTAACTAACTTTGCAGCATTGCGCAAGAATAATAACTTTATTCGCACTAAATGGATTTAAGCTCATACAACATTGTTTTAACATAGGTATTTTGACACCAAAGCGGACTTTTTCTGAAATGGCACACGATTTTTATTTCATATTTCGATTTTGCGATTCAAGTTATGCCCAGGTATAAAATTTTGTAATTTTTGGTGATAAATTTGTGAAGAAATATAAAAATCTATCTTGTCTTTTTTTTTTTTTTTTTTTTTTTTTTTTTTTTTTTCAGTTTTGAGCCAAGAATAATTCAATCGTCGAACTTTAATTTATAGCAACCTATTTCCCTTCCCCCTTTTTTTCGTTGCACACGAACAGAAAGAAGTCATCTTTCGTACTTTCAAATAATTTTAACGAAGTGTATAAACCACATTTGGCAGTATTTTCGCTTATAACATACATGCCAAATTTCAAAACGCGCCAATATGTAAATTTATGTATATATCAGAAAATTTTGAACATAAAACATTGCAGGTGTGTCTAGAAATACATCTACTTTAAGATGGTGGTAAAAATTTTGTGTTATAAAATATTTTTCGAAAAATTTAAAAAAAATATCTAAAAATGCAAATTTAAAAAACAAATCATAAAAAACGAGCGAATTAAATTTAGATTAAGCACAAATTTCGAATTCTGGAAGAAGGAATCAAGTAATTTTAATAAAAAAGAGATATTAATAAATTTATATCAAATTCAATTAACATTGAGGAGCTAGAATTTTGCCAGCTAATTTTTTAAAAACTACTCGTGCGATTTTTACAAAACTTAACCGTTTTTCATAATTCAGTCCTATAGTCGAAACATGGAAACAGATTGGCATGTCATTTCAGAAAAAGCCCGATTTTGTGTCAAAATACCTATATTAGAACAACGCTATATATAAATCTAATACATATCCTAAGTCGCGCATTCGAGACATGAAAAACGCAATTTGAATTTCGTCAATTGTTTCAGTAGAACGGAAGACATAGAAATGTCCCATATTTTTTCTTTTTTCTTTTTTTTTTTTGCTCAGTGTAAATATACAATAATTTAGAATTCATATCAAGCGATAATGCAGTGTTTTCTATGGCTTTACTGTGTAAGCAGTACTATATAAAGTAATTACAGAGTTCGTTACTGAGCGCTGCCTGAGATAACCACAGACCTTGCTTTTGCTGTAAAAGTTTTACAGTGTTAATGGTCATCCTGGCAGGGATTATTTCTTCCGTATAAAAATATAAATATTACATGGGCATACAAGGCCTGTGTATAAGCATAAATATATTAATTACAAACATTGTCTTATACAAGTTATATGCGATAGTTACATAAAATCATGACAGTTATGTGCACATTTAAACATTATCTGAATTCATATTTACAATAGTTTAACTGAGATAATCAAATGAAACTTGTAATTCATTTACACATTGACTGGATTTTCTGTGTCATTTTTAACTGCTTTACAACATTTTTTCAACAAGTACATGCAAAATGAATAATAATAAGCTTCCATTACAATAGTTTTTGCTCTTACAGTCCTGTTACTATTCTACCAGGTGAGCTATTTTTCTAATGTTGATTTTCAGTTGTTGTAGCACTATCTAGCTTAAACTGCGCTGGGAGTTATGTGACTAAATTTTTTGGTACTTTAGCTGAATTGCTTGGAAAAGTTGCAACTGCTATTAAAGTTGTAGTATCTATCAAGGGAGTATCTTTGTTACTGTTCAATTACTTGGATATTACTGTAAGAGTCAACTACAATAATCTGCTGCTCCGGTAACTACGAGTTGTCAGCTCGATGTACTCCACTTTTGTAAGGCCTCTACCCAATACTTTGATTTGCTATTGAAAGCAAATCGAAGTTCCTTACTCAGTGAGGAACACAGCTAGAGTTCCTCACTGAGCCATAGAATGAACGACACATGAAATAGGAAGTCTTGGATTGTGAGAAGAATAGAACAGAGCTTTGCCTCTGTAGCAGCTAGAGTCGTCACGCGTCTGGCGACATCTATGTGGAGAAAATCTAGGTAGGTAGCTTTGGAAGATGAATGTTCCCAACTTGGGAGTAGCGTCAGCTTCCAGATTACAGTGTCCAACCGAGGTAATACGCGAGAAAGGAAAATATATTCTCTGACAGGCAAGGCCTTATATATAAGGCCTGGCATATTTTTTTGTGATGTCTGTAGGAACGTATATATACGTGCATCTTGAAATATGCATAAGAAATTAACCCTTTGACTACGAATTAAAAAAAATTACCCTGTTTTCTACCCGAGTGAACAAAATATGTCATAAATAAGGTAAATTAAGCATTGGTTTTTGTTTTCGGCAAACGGTTTTCAAGCCGGGACACGTATGTCCCAGACGTAGTTAATGGTGGGATACATACAGTGGATGGACAAAAATATGGAAAAACACCTTGTGAAATGCATGTTTGAAAAGAAAGATTGATTTTAATGAAATATGTAGTTGGCGCTGGCGTTTTTGACTACGGACGCCACCCTATACAACTTCGTAAATGTGCTAAACAGTTCAGTTGTTGTCGGAGTACTGTTATGTGAGGTTGTCATTGCATTATGTCAGAGTTAACAGACTTCGAACGTGGGCAAATTGTTGGAGCACGTATGGTAGGTGCTTCCGTAAGCAAGGTAGCCGAGTGTTTAGTGTTTCAAGAGGTACTGTATCGAAGATTTTCCGCATATTGAAAAGCGGAAAAACATCATCTGCTAAATCACAGCGCGGACGAAAGTGTGTCCTGAGTGATCGTGACAGACGATCTTAAGGGCAATTGTGACGAAAAAAGAAGACTACAGCTGCAAAAGTTACTGCTGAAATGAATGTTGTGTTACCGAACCCTATGGAGTACCAAAACAATTAGAAGGGAGCTTCATAAACGGGAATTGCTGGCCGTGCTGAAATTGAGAAGCCACTCATCAGTGATGCTAATGCCCGTAACAGGAAAGGTGGTATTTAAGTCATAAAGGCCTGCACTTAGAGCAGTGGAAGCGAGTAGTAGTAATGGTCTGACGAGTGTTCTTTCACATAGTTCCCACTTCTGGCCGTTTACGTCTGGAGAACGCCATCTCAGCCTATAATACAGATTGTTGTTGCCAAGAGTGAAACATGGTGAGGTTCTGTTATGGTTCGGCAGCCATATCGTGGTTCTTGCTAGCCCCATGATAAAACTGTGTCAGGGCCCATGACTGCCAAGACTCATTGTGAACATTTTGGCCGATCAAGTTCATTCCCATGGTACAAAAAATTGTTCCCCGATGGTGATGGTGTCTTCCAAGACGACAAAAGCCCCTGTTCACACAGCTCACATTGTCCAGGACTGGTTTTCTGAGCACCAGGATGAGTTTTCCCATCTCCCTGGCCACCACAGTCACCAGACCTGAATATTATCGAACCCTTTGGGTCTACCTTGGAACGGAAAGTGCGTTCTCGTTATCCACCGCCAACATCGTTATCTGAACTTGCCACCGTTTTTCAGGAAGAATGGTATAATATTCCCTTGGCAAACATACAGGAACTGTATTTATCCATTCCGAGAAGACTGCAAGCTGTTTTGGATGCCAACGGGTTTCCTACACCATATTAAGCAAAGAAACATATTTTTTTAAAGGTGTTTCCATATTTTTGTCCAACCCCTGTATGTCTCACACGTAGTGATCGACTTACCATAAGCACACCTATTATTCTGGGAAACTTTATTATATGAAACAGATTTTACATGGTATGTTACAGGAAAAAGCATTCTGTGTATAATCCAACATTACGATTGTGTAACTTCTATTTATTCTTTTCTCTATGTTCATTTGCGTACAACCAGGACAGCGGCGTCTTGATTGTCCAACTATTGGAAGATGATCGCCAACATTCAGGAGATTCTAAGTACTTTTTAACTCAGCAATAATTCACTCCACCCGCAATGCACCCTTCTTCCATCACTGCACTATCGTCTCGTCCAGCATTTGTTTGCACTGTCTTCAGCACTCGTCTTGAGCACAATATGTATATATAAGTGTGTTATGTTGATCTAGTTATTTCCATCAGCCGGATTACCTGGCCGATATGCTAACTACCCAGTGGACCAGCTGCCTTGCTGTCGGTGGAAAGAAAAAGAAAAGCACTTTATGTGGGACATATATGGCCGTTAGTAGTCAAAGGGTGAAGACCTGGTCAAGCGCCGGCGAAAGTGACATCTGTTCCCTACAATCAAAACAAGGTACAGGAAGAAACATTCTGTGTATAATCCAATATTACAATTAGAGCAACTCATATTTATTCTTTTCTCTATGTTCATTTGCGTACAACGAGGACAGCGGCGTCTTGATTGTGCAACAATTGGAAGATGATCCCCAACATTCAGGAAATTCTAAGTACTTTGTAACTCAACAGTAATTCACTCAGCACTTTATGTGAGACATATGTGGGATATATGGCCGTTAGTAGTCAAAGGGTAAGACCTGGGCAAGCGCCTGCGAAAGTGACATCTGTGCCCTACAATCAAAACAAGATTTCTCAGGATAATCATCTGAGCTCCATACAACGTGAGAAATAAAAATCTGCATGCTGACCTGAAAGTGGAACTTATTTCTGATTTTCTGCACAGAATAAATACTAAATTTTATGATAAAGCTACGCAGAACACGTTCTCCGGCTTTGCAGATATTTTCGCTTGCGAAATACTTGAAGAAGACAGGAATAATAGGCCATTTGCAGCTTTTCTCTTATATAGCGCAAACACGCAGAGACAAGATCAACATGTGTAACCTTTATATTAGTTTTATAGCAAATTTCGGACTTAAAAACTTTCAGAATGCTGAGCAGGAGTCACAGGACTGCCGCCACACCTCTGATAGTACAATGCTAGTCTTCTGTCATCGCATCGTCACCCGCCAGTGAGATTTTACAGACAATGTGTCTCAATGTTTTCTTATTTTTATCGCATTTTATTTTAAGGTACACACTTTTATGGTAGACCAATGAGCTCTTATGTGAGAGGCCCTTTGTGGGATTCTCTGATAAGCTCTGGTAAAAGCGAAATTAATTCCCGCTGTAAACCAGAATATGCAACCAAAACATCAAAGCATCAAGGGGTTAACGCAATATATTGAAAGTACACAAATCCAGGTATAAAATGCCTTGAGCATTTTGGCATTAAATAAAAAATACCTCTTTCTCATTAGCAGTTTTCGGAAATTTGGACTTTCTGAGTGAAAGATCAGAGGATTAAGAATTTACATCATGAAGCGGAAAGGAAGGGTGAAACCGCATGTCACATGTCAAATCTTTCTTGCCGCTGAAGATGTCCAATATACCGCAGAATGAAAAAAAGTCCACTGAGATTACATAAATTAGAAGTGCAGCACAATTTGCAGTAGTACTGGCTGCTGCCCCTTGTTGTGGATATACATACAATAAAATCCCGCAAAGTCGACTCCCGATATCTCGACATTCTATATAACTCAAACGTTTTAGAAACTTTTTTAAGATATCTCCAAGCCAAACACATCAAAACAAAAAAAAAAAAAAAAAAAAAAAAAAAAAAAAAAAACAGTATATATAATTCTTATTTATGCGTCTGCCTTTTCTGGTCTGTTTAAAGATTTCAGTATTCTTTTTCTGTAATTTTTGCCGTTTTCGCGTTTGGATTAATTCTTGGACTCCCACGATCTGTTGTTGTATTACGCAACGATGTTTGCTTTTTCGAGTATGAAGAAAGTCGGCGGTTCACATTCTGGCCGAGGTTCATTCCTTTCCCCACCAGGGCGAGCAATAAAGACGCTGAAACACTGGTAGGTAGTCGAGGTTCGAATCCCCGCGGGGCTGGCTACTGCCATTTCTATTTTTAATAAATTGCAATAATGTTAAAACTTGAAAAATATTAGTATTTTTTTCGAAAGAAATGAAAATATAACTCTGTAACATAAAATGTCATTGAATACTGAATGAATATGTGAGTGTATCTGAAAATATCTTAAGCAGAGGAAAGAAAAGAAAAATATCTTAAGAAGAATAGAAAAATATCTTAAGCAGAGGAAAGAGAGGTGAAACGTAAATACACATGACGGCCTTCTAAATATCTTCCTTTTCAAACCTGTATCAAATAAAATACTGGACCGAAAATCTTCTCTATTTCAAATCTATTACGAAATTATTAAAAACTATCTAAAAAGTCGTACAGAGAGCGATTTTTTTTTAAATTGTGTAATTCTTTTGAAAAAATATTTTTTATTTTGCGAATGTAATAAATATTTTCTAGATAATTATTCAGAAGTGTTTTTTATATCTTGCATTTTCGTTTTGTTTCTAAAACTAGCACTTTATGTAAGCATGTTAGGCGAATTTACTCAGGCAAAGATGCAGTTTTATTGTTCTAGATGCACGGTGGAACAAGCGGTATCCCACCACTTCATGAATTAACTTAAAGGTTAATTTTTTTTTTTAACATGAAATAACATTGTATTAGGGGCTAATTATCTATGTGTATTTTTTCAAAAAAAAAAAAAAAAAAAAAAAAATATGCACCGAACCTTAAAGGGTTAAACAGCTTGGACAAAGGGAAAAGTGAAAACAAAATTCCCATGGATTTAGGTGTTGGACGTCAAAGGGTTAAATATTAAGACTTCTGAAAAACCTACCCCTTATTCCGTAAAACTCGAATTTTTGGAAACTTGACAGTCTTTCAGTCCGCATTATGTCGAGTTTGCGGGACTGTATTGTTTCAGAGGGTTTTAGTATTTGTACTGTTTTTATTGTAATTGCACTTGGGATAAGATTTTAGTTTGTAGAATCCACTTGATTCAGTCCTGTGTGAAAACTGTAAGCGTAGTAACTGCATAGAAGAAGGGCTAAAAGTATCCTTTATTAACTCTTTAACATTTATAATGCGTCAACTTCACGTTAACAAACTACGCCTTTGCTTGGGCGGTAACTGAAATCAAAGAACTAACTAAAGATTTGAAGATATGTACCAGTCTACAGGATTCAGAAACCCCCGTCGAAAAGCAGTGGCAACAAGTAAATGCAAGAACTGCCACGGAAAACAGCCATAACATTGGGAGCAGATGGTTAAGCAGCAGAGGTGGCAGCAATAGCCTATATCTCTCTCTTTCTTACTAAACCTCGGTTTTTTACATCTTTCTTCAAGGTAGAATTTGCATTCCTTCACGCGCACTACCAAATTTAAATATTCTGGCATTGACAATTAAGAGAATGAAGGCTTATAGGAAAGAATAACAAATTAAATAAAATTGGTGATTTAAAATAAATATAAATCCTAGAAATTTATAAATAAATAAAATTATACATTATTTAGCATATATTTACGAAAATGAATTGATAAAATTAACATCACTTTACAAAATTGTGTAAATACACATTAATTGTGTAATAGCTACATTTGTTTATTACCTAGTGTTTGTGACTGTTCACGGCTTAAATCCACATTTATTCATCTCTTGAAGAAGAGATTCATGCCTCAAGACATAGTTGAACATTTCCGTGCTGTCGAAGGGCCCTGCCTTACCACCTAGCTCGTTGGGAAGGATTTCAGCAGGAATGAACTTGTGGAGGCCTTCAAGCTTTCTTCCATGCAGGAAAATCTAAGTGAAAAAATTTAAGACGAAAATGCTTGAATTGTATTCTTAACCATTATCATTGCATGTCTGAGGGGGAGAAAAAAATATGTTTAACAGTGTAACTTTAATTGAAGTTAATGGATTAAGATTAAACGAAAACATTAGGAACATACGTTGAAATCAAATACCACATTGACCGGGTTATAAGATGATGTATACTGCGCAAAAAAAGAGGGGACAATTATATATCTCTTCTACTGGGCTGGTTGACGAAATTCAAATTGCGGTTTTCACGTCTCAAAAGCGCGACTTAGGATATGTATTAGATTTATATATAGAGTTGTTCTAATATAGGTATTTTGACACAAAATCGGACTTTTTCTGGAACGAGATTCCAATTTTTTTTTCATATTTCGATTCTATGGCCCAAATTATGACAGACTGCTTAGTTTTGTAAAAATCGCACGAGTAGTTGTTAAAAGATTAGCTGTCAAAATTTTAGCTCCTCCATGTTAATTGAATCTTGTAGATACTTATTCTTATCTCTATTTTATTAAATTTATTTGATTCTTCCTTTTACATTCCGAAATTTAGGTTTATTCCAAATAAAATTTACCCATGTTTAATAATTTATCTTTAAATTTATACTTTTGAATAATTTTTTTTTATAATTTTTTCCAAAAACATTTTGAATTATAACCTATCAAATATTTGCCAACATCTTAAAGTCGATATATTTCTAAGCATATCTGCAAAAAAATCGAGTTTTTTATTTAAAATTTCCTAAGATATGCGTGAATTTACGTATTAGCGCATTTTGAAGTTTGGCATATTTTGTATAAGCGGATATAACGCCAAATGTGGTTTACGCACTTTGTTAAAATTTATTTGAAAGTATGAACGATGACTTTTCTCCCGCTAATCTACAGTTAAGAAAAGAAAAGGAAAACAAACTGCTATAAATTAAGAAGTTCTTTAAGTTAAGAAGTTCGTTATTCTTGGCGCAAACTGAAAAAAATGGGCGAAGATAAATTTTTAGATTTCTCCATAAAATTTCGTAAATGTCCAATTTTGTGTCAAAATACCTATATTAGAACAATGCTATATATAAATCTAATATATATCCTATGTCGCGCTTTCAAAACATAGAAAACGCAGTTTGAATTTGGTCAATCGGCCCGGTAGAACGGGACATATAGAAATGTTCCACTTTGTTTTTCGCGCAGTGTAGTACAGCTGCTCCGAAATGACGTTTTGGACGTTTAACAACTAAGACTATTTAAGTTGGCACTGCTGTTAGGGAAATTTGATTATGCTAGTAAACATCGATCTGGTTCAAAAATGTTACATGCGATTTTTTATCAAAAATTTAGGTTAAATAGCATTATTTACCTCATACGTTTCCCACGTTTTCTACTAATTTTAACACTACCGTCTGAAGCGCAACCCTGGTTGGCATTCTGCCAAAACACATAGACTCGTCCAAAAGGGGCGGTATTACTTGTTGCGATGTGAAAGGTCTTCTCTTCTCCGGAAAGAACTATGCTGGAAGGAAAGAAAGTCCCCATCCTTCCACCCTATTTTGAGAATAATTCGGTCCGAATGGAGCATGCGTGTTTGCGCTCATGGTCGCGGATGAAACGGTCGAACTATACCAGTGTCCCTTATCTGACAATGGTCAGCTAAAGCCCGCGATATTCATCGTGGCGAGGAGTGAAATGCGCATGTCGTTGGCAAGAGTCCTGAGCACCATATAGGTGACAGCCCGACTTTAGCTGAGTACCGCCCCAATTTTGAGAGACACCAACTTGCGAGGATGGGTCCGGTGGTCTCCTAGCCTTGTTCTCCTACCAACAACCTCTCAAGAAGACTTGATAATTTCGTGAATATTTATCAAATTATACAATACGTAATATCTTCTCGGAGCATATTCAGAAAGTGTCCGACATCCCGCCTAGATACCATACATTTACAGAATCGTTAAAATGTTTACTATGAACTGTAAACAAGTTAACTAATGCTGATTTGAATCTTAAAAAAGGTGAAAAAGCATTATATGCACAATCGGTACTCTTCTGTTTTGAGGGCTGTAAAAAATTGCAGCGAAAATGTATGCGCAAAAGCGCCAAATCTAGCAAACATGCCCATTTAACAGCGCGCCAAATCGAGCGTAAGCGCCTGGTTTCAGATAGCGTAAGTTTATATATTTCTATATCTCTTAAGACGCCATTGAAATACTAGTTTTATTTTTAAATCCTTTTTTGATATCCTATGGATTTAACAATTTGGGAATTGCCCATGACGAAAACTCGGCAATAGAATTTTGGGTAAAGTGCAGAATCGCCCACTGCATGACGCGTTTTTAAGAATTGCACATACTCGGTATCCATATATTCACTTGAAAGTTATTCACCTAAAAAAAATCCTAGAATTGCACAAAAATGGCACTGCGCACACCCTTGACTTTATCTATATACACATCGACCTATTTTCACTTAAAAAGTAAAAGAAAATTGACAAAAATCCAATTGTTTTTACCCTTGTAAAAAGCGGCAAACAAATAAGTGAGCGATTCTGCACTTTACCGAGAATATTTTCAAAGAAAAGGCATCATTAATTATATAAAATTACGTTTGAATAACCAACGAGATGAAATGATGCTTTAGCGATAACTCGGTAGCAAAATAGCGATGCAGGCATCCATTCAGTTATGTTTAGCAATTTTTATATAAATTATAATAATGATCTGAAATACTTATTGACTCTTATGCTTCCATTCAGTCATGTTTAGCCTTTTTCATATAAATTATTATAATAAAAAAGTATTATATGAAATGAACCTTTCATCTTAATTAAAACATCAATCTTAGATAGTTATTTACTATTATACTTCCTTTCTTGCCGCAATTATTAGGGTTGCCGCAATTATTTTTGGCAGCATTGGCATTAGCAATAGTTTGGCGATTTTTTACGGTCGTGGAAACCGAATAGTACCGCACAATCTTTATCCAACGCGCTGCAAAATTCTTCGTGAGAAATATTTATCAGGACAAAAATGGAAAACGTTGTTACAATAGATGAATCTTGGATGTATTTAAATGACTGCAATAAAATGAGATCTATTTATTATTATCAAAGAGGAGAAAAAAGTCTTAAAACATGGCTCAAAGAATATAAAGAAAGCTTTTCAAAGGCATTTATGGATGATGCTTTTTTTTTTTTTTTTCATATAATGGCAAACGAAAAATAAAGAGAGTGTGAAAAAAAGTTAAGATCGACTCCATATATCAGGAACATATCTGATAGCCAGCTTTCAAATATGAAATCTTTACCCACAATGCCATCAACCAGAACTGCATAAAGGAAAAGCAGGCAGCCGCGCGTCAAAATCCATTATTAATCTCCTGGAAAAAAGGGAACAAGAAATGGGTATCAAGGCCGTATACCCTTCACTATATCTCTAATAAATCTCCTGATGGCCATAGATTTTTGCGCTTGTAGTCTTTTAAAAAGCGGATTGCTCAAACGTCGATCTATAACCCTCCTTGAACTTTGGAAAGCTGTTGAAGTGGAATGGGATAAAATAATCTCTCCCGATGCAACAAAAGCTTTATTGTCTTGGAAATTGCGCTGTCGGAAAATAGTAAAGGGCTATCAAAGAGAATATTTAAAACACAAAAATGTTACGTAAAATATTTCTGTAAATACAATGAAAATCGTCTAACAGATAAGTCTAACTATAAGCCTCTGTACATGTTACTTAATCATATAAATTGGTTTCATTTTTATTACTATAATTAAATTACGAAAAAGAGACAATTTAAATAAATTACTTACCCTTTCTCTTAGCTTTTTCGGCAAAGCAACTTTTACAATTTCGAAAAATATTTGGAAGAAGTAGGGCTCATTTATTAAGTGCATTCCCTTGATTCGTAAAGGAAAACAGTTCTGAAATAAACAAATGGAAGCTGTAATTAAATATAATTTGTTTAGTTCTCTTTTACAAAGAAAAAGTGACTTAGAATACAAGCGTAACATATTGAACCGTATTTTGAGTTGTTCAGCGACATTTGGCAGAGCACATTTTAGTAAAAGCAGTTATGTCGCCTATGGAAACTTTTCATTTAATATTGTTACGAAATGCACAGCTGCGGTAAGTTTTGTCAGAAAGCGACAAAGAAAGACATGCTTGGCAGGCGCATTTGGCGACAAAATTGGCGATGTGTCATAGACAGAGCGAGAACACTCTAGAACGAATTCTTACCGGTTTTCCCGAGAATGTTCTCAAAGGCAGGTCAAAAGCTATAAATTCCCTACCTGTACGCGGAGCAGCAGAGTGTCGTGAATGAATATCTTGAATATAGAGAGTACGTTGCGTTCGGTAGCAGTGTCTTGAACGCCGAGAGCGATTGACCGAGTCGGGAGCTGTACGTTAGTGCTTTGCCGTGAAGCTGTCTTCAACGTTATGGTAGCGGAAAGTAGCGTCATATGTGTTGCTGATCGTTTCAGCGCATTTATCTTAGATTTTCGACTGCTGTAAACGTGCTTTTAGAACTCTTCTGTGGAATACTGACGAATAAAGTGTGTTTTTGATTCTTCATCAAGTGTTCTCATCAATCATTCTAAATCCGCGAACCTGTAGAAAGCGAAAAAAGTACACCAAATTCAATTTCCATTGAGGAGCTAAATTTCTGAGGGCTAAATTTTAAAAACTACTCTTGCCATTGTTACAAACTTTGGCGCTTTAGCATAATTTCAGTCGTAGGATGGAATTTGAGTATGTTCTCAAAGGAAGGTCCAAAGCTATGGAGTAAAGTACCGTATTTATGCGAATCTAATGCGCCATCGAATCTAATGCACATCCCCATTTTAAATTAAATAATAAAAAAATTGTTGTCGGCGAATGTAATGCGCATCAATGATATAAGGAATTTATGAATTCTTATTTATACAACAAGGGATTTGTATAAACTATCAATAATGGTATGATAATTTTATTTAAATTTAGATACCATATTTTATACACAATGGATTTATACATAAAGTAGCAAACATAGAATTAACCTATTATGGGCTATTGTCATGTGAAACAATCATTGTGAATTAGCATTACCGTATATACGGTACCTATCGTAAAATATGAACATGAAATAATCGTAACATTTCTATCTAGCTAACAGTTCTACAAGCAGTGATTAATAGTAAACGTCTTTATTCACTAATGTTTTTATCACAATGTTGTACGGCGTTTTAAAGATAAACCCATCCGCTTCATAAACCGATCCACCCATCCACGGCTAGCCTTAAAACTCTTGTTTCGGTATTCCAAGAACTTCAGCCTCCTCTTTTGCTTTATTTCTTATGGTGTCACTAGCCACAGGTTGTCCATTCTTCCTCCTTTCACGTACAAATTCCAAAACTTTTTCTTCAATTTTAGGCTGTCTTCCTTGCGAGGGCCAGTTAATTTCTTTCTACTAGCTTTAGTTGCAAACAGTGCCAATTTCTGTTGCCGCCACAGCGAACATGCTCTCAGCTACGTTTGAACTCTCCCTGTCTTTCTATTGCCATTTTTTTTCAGCATAAAGAATACTTACGTTGAAAGTAGCGTCATATGACATTCTTCTCTGTTGCCCTCCATTCGTGACTACGTACTCTGCAGTTTGTATCCTCTATGCAATAATGTATCAACGATAAATGTAACAGTAAACGTAGTCGAGAAATTTTGTTGACGTCATCGGCGAACTTTGCACTCGAATCTAATGCGCACCCCAATTTTGAATACTACATTTGGCCAAAAACGATGCGCATTAGATTCGCGTAAATACGGTATTTTGTAGTATGTAGAGTAGAGTATTGAGTAAAGTATGTAGAGTTCAGTAGTAGTGTCTTGAGTTCAGAGAATAACTCGAGAGCGATCGAACACGTTGGAAGCTGTATTTTAGTGTTTTGCCGTGAAGCTGTCTTAACCGTTATAGCCTGATAGCCTGTTTCTGATTCTTTCAGCGTTTTTATCGTAGTTTTTCGACGACTGTAAACATGTCTTTGGAATTAAGACACAATAACACGCCGAACAAATACTAATTCAGAAGTCAAACAACAATCAGCGTTATATTTTCAAATTTTCACAGGACTAGTTTCGATGATTTTACCGAACCACTATCGTCAGCTGCAAAAGCGCAAATGAACAAGATAGGATATAATGATCAGATAAGATAAGAAAGCCTGGACAGAAAATAAGCTAGTGGCGCCATCTGTTGATGAAACCAGAACTAAAATATAATTTCTTTAAAGGCCGAAGGCAAAGATGGATTGGAATTAGGATCGTTAACTAGAAAAGAAAGATTGTTGGTCCGAAAATCACACTTTCAATTTTTCTGCTGCTACAATTATCCAAAAAAACGTCTTCCATTGGAGAACTGGACTTTCTAGAGGAATTTCACATTTTAAAAAAAATCTTTCTGTTCTAGTTAACGACCCTAATTCCAATCCATCTTTGCCTTCAGCCTTCAAGGAAATTATGTTTTAGTCCTGGTTTCATCAACAGATGGCGCCACTAGCTTATTTTCTGTCCAGGCTTTATCTTATCTGGTTATTATATCCTATCTCGTTCATTTGCGCTTTTACAGCTGACGATGGTGGTTCGGTAAAACTATCGAAACTAGTCCTGTGAAAATTTGAAAATATAACACTGATTTTTGTTGTTTGACTTCTGAATGTCTTTGGAACTCTTCTGTGTAATACTGACGAATAAACTGTGTTTTTATTCTTCACCAAGTGTTCTCATAAGTCACTCCAAATCCACGAACCCATAGAACGCAACAACATTTCAAGTCCATAAAAATAGTTTCTGTATTCGAAGAGAAAAATAACTTCCAGAAGAAATAATTATTATTGTGGTGCAGAATCAATGCGCATACTATTTCATTTATCTAGTATTCAAGTTAGATAAATATTTTGGAAATTTTCTCAAATTTTCATTTAAGCAAGATATTATTGTAAGGAGAATAAATCATAAAAAGTACGCAAAAAAAATTGCAACATTTAATTTTATTATCTAGCAACATGGTAAATCTTCTTGTCGCTCATAATAACTAAGCTATCTGTTTCGGTTATTTCATACGGGCCCACCAGCGGCCGAGCGGTAAAGTCGCTGAACACTGGTAGTTCCAACCTGAGGTTCGTTTCCAGAAGAACGGGCTGGTTGCATGGGTGTTTTCATGTTTTTCTCCATGTGTAACGTGTATACGAGCCAGTTTCCCTTAGAAAGTCCTCCACGAAGGCATCCCTCCTCTTAGGCAGATAGTCCTAGTGTGCTTTGCCATAATTAAATACACACACACTCGGTTATTTCATAAAATTTCATACTTGAAAGCTGCCATCGCAAATATTCTCTCTTTAAATTTATCACAATTTTCAGTTCAGCAATATTTTATTGCAAGGAGAATAAATCATAACAAGTAAGGAAAAAAATTATAGCATTTACTTTTATTTTCTAGCGAGATTGTTAATCTTTTGGCGTCTCATAATAACTAAGCTATCTGTTTCGGTTATTTCATTAAATTTCATACTTGAAAGCTGCCTTTGTTTATTCAAATGCAAATATTCTTTAAGTTTTTATGATTAAGAAATATAAACGTAGATAAATTTTCGGGTCTAGGACTGTAAGAAGACAATGTAAATGAGAAATATCAAAATATCTGAAAATTAGAAATTTTGAAGTGGTAGCTACGAAAGACGCGGTAATCTATTTAAGTGTGCACAAGGTTACCGATGAGGAACTTTTCAAAACGATTTATGAAAAAGCGATAACATCAGAGTTATCCACAAATAACTTCCGTCAAAACTGAAAATTTTATGTTTGCAATTTTACTCGAGACGCAGGAAAAGAAACATGGATTAGTAAGATTAAAAACGAGGAAAAGATTAAAAAAACAAGGATACTTATGTAACCATTCCGAAGCGAAATGTGCAATACTTCAAGAAATATTCACTTAACTTTCTAACTTGTTTATAATTACTTCCTCGTACGAACTAAAGTATTGTAATTGCCAAAAATTCCGGCTCTCATATTTCAACGAAAATTTCCATTTTGACAGCCACTGAATGTTCTTTAACGATGTTTTTGCGTGACATCTGTACGTAAGGACAGAATAAAGGACGCTTTTCCACCAAACTATAAAACTGATTTAAATGGATTCAGAAGAAATATTTTCGTGGTGTCTGTACGTACGCACATATATATGTATCTCGCATAACTCAAAAATAAGTAGCCTCAGAACGTTGAAATTCTGTATATAGGACTACTATAACATGTAGTTGTGCACTTCCCTTTTTGGTTGTAATTGGCTAAACCAAACGTATATACAAGGTGTACCGTAAATGTTGCGACAAACTTCTAGGGGAGGTAGGGCACAATATAAGGTTTAAGAATTGCATAGGAACCCATGCCCGGAAATGTCAGGGGTAAGTGGTAGCAGAGGTAGAGAATGGGAAAAGAAACAAGAGAGTGAATTATTTGAAATATTTATTGGACATAAATACAAATGGTCTAAGCCAACTTCAATGTTACAACAGATGCTCGAAGTTTGCACCATCAGACACCAAACGTGCCTGACACCGATGGACCTTTGATTGCCGGACATGTCCAAACACACCGAGAGTTTCTTTGATTGTAGCAGCTGCGCAGGCGAGTCTTGCCACGAGATTTATTTCAGACACAACAGGATCGTGATATGCGACACTTTTGATGGCTTCCCACAAAAAGAAATCAAGGCTGAATAAAATCCAGTGAGCGTGAATGCCAGGAAATCGATTCACCTCGCCCAATCCATCGATGTGGGAATGATCTGCTCAAATGGCGACAAACATTTAATCCAAAATGAGCAGGGGCTCCATCATGTTGGAAACACATGTTGCGCCTCACATTTGATGGAACATCGTTAAGAAAA